AAATGCTGCTGCTGCTGCTGCTGCTGCTGCTGCTGCTGCTGCTGCTGCTGCTGCTGTCTCACTGTTGCTTGTTGATCTGGGGGGAGCTTTGCGGCTGCTTCGTCTTCAGCCTTGAGTTTTGCTGCTGCTGCTGCTCGCTGCTGCTGGCGCAGCTGCTGCTGCTGCTGCCGCTGCTGCTGCTTCTCAGCCCTTTTTGCTGCTGCTTGCTGCTTCCGCTTCTCCTCGCTTTCCCGCTGCTTCTTCTCCTCCCGCTGCCGCAGCATCCTGCAGCAGCAGCAGCACAGCAGCAGCAGCGCAGCAGCAGCAGAGGATGAGTGCAGCAGCAGCAGCAGCAGCAGCAGAGGTTGAGTGCAGCAGCAGCAGCAGCAGCAGCAGCAGCAGAGCCCTCAGGTGCACAGGCAGCTTCAGGTGTATAGACACCTCAAAGCTTCTTCTCGCTGAATCTCCTCAAAAGCAGCTTCTTGTTCTCGGCGCAGCCTGAGTCGACAAACCCTAAACCCTAAACCCTAAACCCTAAACCCTAAACCCTAAACCCTAAACCCTAGATGCGAGGCCCTGGACAGTGAGAACGCGTAGTTCCAAGCCCTAACTCCGCAGGCTTAAACGCTAGCCGCTCAGTCCCAAACCCTAAACCCTAAACCCTAGACCCTAAACCCTAAACCCTAAACCCTAAACCCTCGGAGGTTTGGAGAGGCCCTGAGTGGCTGCGGACTCGGCTCTTTCTCTTTCTGCTTTTTGCTGCTGCTGCAGCTTCTCCCGCAGCCGCTCCATTTCTTCTGCTGCACTCAGCAGCAGCGCAACAGCTTCGTCTTCCCCCCAAATGCCCTCCAGCACCTGCAGCAGCAGCAGCAGCAGCAGCAGCAGCAGCAATTTGAGAGGCGCAGCAGCAGCAGCAGCAGCAGCAGCGGCAACTTGACAGGCGCAGCAGCAGCAGCAGGGGCAGTTTCAGAGTCAGACAGCAGCAGCAGCAGCAGCAGCGGATACAGCAGAAGCAGCGCGCGCCACACAACAGCAGCAGCAGCAGCAGCAGCAGTAGCAGCAGCAGCAGCAGCAGCAGCAGCAGCAGGGCTGACGCTGTGGAGGGACTTGGCAGCAAGAGCGCGCCAATTGTGGGAAGGATGTCTTTGGGGATTTGTCTCTTTAAGTGCAGCAGGAATAAACAGCAGCAAAGCAGGAGCAGCAGCAGCAGCAGCAGCAGCAGCAGCTGGCAGCAGCCGACTCAAAGCGGGGCCTTCGCCTCGAGCAGCAAACAGCCCCGTAAACACGAAGCCCTGCGTCGTCTGCAGCAGCAGCAGCAGCAGCAGCAGCAGTGAAGCTCAAAGCCCTGCTGCAGGCCTAAGCAGCAGCAGCAGGAGCAGGAGCAGCAGCAGCAGCAGCAGCAGCAGCAGCAGCAGCAGCAGCAGCAGCAGCAGCAGCAGCAGCA